AAAGCGCTGATTTCATCACATTTCACTTGTTCTTTCCGCATTTACCATGCTCCCATGACTTCAATAGGTTGACTGATGAGCAGTTCTCACGGTGGTTCGATGATATCTTCTATCCCGCTGTCCGTCAGGTCTACGATATCGATAGACTTCAGCACTTGCCAGCAAGTTATCGTCACGCATTGGCTACTTGCCGAGCTCCTCAGAGAGAGAATCGTCTGCTCGAGACCTCGAACTACCAGGCCCAACTACAGATGTCCTACTTTCTGTCACCGCAGGGTTTGCAGCAACTGTGGAACCATATTCTCACAGCAGTATGCCAACCGGGGTTGCAAGATTTTCGTGATCCAGAGCTATTAATTCAGGCAAAAGGCACTAAACTCTTGTTCAAATACCCAGATGCCCCGTCTGATCTACTGGCGGCAATGAACAGCTTTGAAGACAAACTACACGGCATTCTAGACTTCTCCCATATACGCAGCGACCGGCTGTACATTGATGTGGGTAAAGAGACCTGCCCAATGCCTGATGATGTTCCATCACCTGAACCTCAGACATACCTCTGGCGGCGCTGTTGCATCCGTCACCACCTCAGTCAGCTCTATGACGGGAATATTCCCAAGTCCGGCCAAAACTTTTACCATGAGTCAATGCTTCGAGATACTGGCGCTATGACTACGTTGACGCCTGTAAGGTCTCGACTCCGCCGTGGGGGTATTCTTTACGGCCAAATGTACAGTCTCGCCAAAGAGATCGTAGACGCTGCTCGCACATATCCATTTCAGAATCCAGATCTACGGCTTCTGGCGTTAGATCCACAGCTTCGCAATGGTATGCAAAGCATTGGTGGCAAGCCAGCTTCGGGCAAGAACGTCACTGATCGAGCGTACCTGGCCAGCAAGCGCCGTTGTCACTATGGCCTCACAGATTCTAAACAACGATCTTTCGGTGTCCGCGAAGAATACCGTATTTCGTGGACCTTGTTTCAAAGCGTTCTGGCAGTGCTGCGCTCTCTTACCCCAGAGGCCCGCTCCACCCAGCTACCAGGGCCTCCATCCTACCTGTGGGCAGTTCGCACTCCCATCTTTGTTGATTACGTCTGGCACAATATAAACAAGTTCACCACTGGGTTTGAGTTGATTCGAGCTCAACGTTCTGGGGGGCTAACGACATGGGAGCAAACCAAGATGATGGATATGTTTCTTCGATGTCTTCGGGTTGCAGTCGGAGGGCATGATTACTCCCGAGAAGGGGCGCTGTGGTGGAGCAAACGAGAGCTGCCGCAGCCAGCGGGCTTGCCACTAGTATACTACGGCCTTGGTTTTAGCCACACACTAGAGAAGTATGGCTACTGCTGGATTGAGCCTCGCATAGACTGGACTCTGTTAAAGTTTCTTCCAGATATTACTGGTTCAGTCTTATTTGGCAACGGCACTCTTCATCAACGATTTATGAAATATAATGGCCATGCCAGGCATTTCTTTGGCCTCAGTCGCTGGGCCGACTTGGGTCTTGAATGGCTGCGGCAGTATCCTGGGGAGAATATTATCAGCGATCAGATTGTGTCATGGCTTTGTCATATCTGTCTACAGCAGATGAGGGCTGACGTCCTCCATTCCATTCAAGGCGACCTCCGACCGCAAGCTTGCAAGACGATCCTAGACGATCATGTTCAGTTTTGTCGCAATGGCCTTTCAGCCACCCTAGTCAATGGTATGACCGCAGTATGGGGAAACCGTGTGAGAGTCAAGAGCCCTCAGGAAGTTGCCCAAGCATTATTCGGTTTGAATGATGGCTGGCTGCGGGACAATTGG